TATTGTAAAAAAATGTAAATATTGTATATTTAATTATTAAATAATTGTAAATATTGTAAAAATATAAAAATTGTATATTTAGTTGCTTATTTAATTATGAAACAATTGTAAATATTGTAAAAGATGCAAATATTGTTTAATTAACCGCAATACCATAACACATTCGTCTAATTTTCATTTAGGGGTATTCCACTTGTACAAAATTGATGAGTATGCCATGTTGCTATGTACCTACCCACCTACGTGGTCGAGGAAACTTTATGGTAAATGGTATTCTAGATGTACGTGGACGTCCTGACCACGCAATTCAACTTTAGGTGGCAACGAACTATTAAATGAGAGAATATGGTTGTGAACTTCTCACTCGACTTCATGCAGTAGATGAAATATGGTCTCAGCATATGCTACTCTCCAGTAAGCAGCTGTGTAATAAGGAGAGCATAAGGTTCTCGTTGCAAAATCTCTATACATAACTAATGCGACTCAATGCTCACACGGAAAACTTTCCAACTGAAATTAACTACAAGTGCATGTGTTATCAGTCAAGTTCACCATGTATGCCATATTACGTACACATTTCATGAAGAAGCGCAACTCATCCAGTGGTTCTACATTCAACTTTCTTGCAACCTATGCAGTCTTGAAGAGTTTATCATCCTGAGTTGGGACTAACAAGCTCATGTAACTCTGTGATTCTACACGTCAATCGTAAAACAACTGCTACACCTTCTTACGAATGTTTTCAATCATTGCGAGAATTGATGACTCTTAATATTTCTTGAATAATTTGCATTGAGAGACTATGCATTATTTGACATCATCATGTTGTATCGGGGTCCTGAAAAATGTGATCAAGCCCCAATGTTCAATCCCCATTTTTGTTAGATACTTTCATGTCGGGAATGATTTACTTCCTATTTCAACTATGAACTTATTATACTCTTCAACACTGTAAGCTTCTGCCGCTCTCCTGAACAATGAAACGATGTCGTTGCCCTGATACCTAATCTTTAGGTTGGCTTGTATATAGTACTTGCAATACCCATGATGTGTATTGGGAGAAACTTCAGCGATACCATTTATTATAGAAGGTCCCCAATTAGTTACAAAGGCAAAGTCCTCGACTTCTCCAATTACTTCCCTCAACTTCGTGAAGAACTAATGCATCGATAAATTTGAATGTTGGCATCTGACATGTAGCAATAACTAACTTGCTTTCATATCTAATTTTCAGAGTTTTACCATCAACTGGAATTAGGGATCACATCGGATTTCGAAATCCTTGAATGCATTGTCCAGGAGCCATGAAGAAAAACTTAAAACTTATGGCAATACCTGACCAATTTAGTATAACTCTTCTCGACCAAACTCATTAAATCCTTCAACGAGCATTCTTTGGCCTTTCAGGCCTTCAGGTAGCTCATGACCACTCCTATTCTTGAAGGATGTCGTTAATGATGTCCGGACGTCGTTAATGATGTCCGAAAGTCTTTAGATCGTTCGTGGGTCCTGATACTTGTGCATTATCTGTCGACTAATAAACCATGCTTGGACTTGCCCGTGATCACTTCGACGAATTCCCCTTCATAATATGTTCCCGTGTATATTTGCGAACTACCAACAACTCATTCGTGTCCATCTTCACTCGCAAACGCCAACGAAAATTGTCGTCGACTTCAAATAATTGTCAACAATGACTTGTTTGATTTTTTCACTTTGAACTTAAAGTTGTATTTCAGTACTATCCGGTGCACGACTTCTTGTTAATCTTTCTTTATTTCAAACAGTTGCTCGAAATGCAAATCATCATCATCCGAAACCATGTGCGAAGAATTAGATGACAGTCACTCGATCTAGCCCCCTGATCTCTCACCTCATTCATATCTCTGACGGGGTAAAACAATCAAATTCTCATTTATAAATTCATTTTCATTCTCGTTCTCGTGAAATACCAACATAATTTTGTGTGTAACAGCAAGATCGCGATTAGGAACAACTATCTCGAAAATAACCACATCATCCTCACGAGTTATCTCCAATGTGTCTCAAAAATCATTGTCATTATGATCCATTCCATCCGAATCTTCGTGTTCGCGTTCGACGACATTCTTCACTAAAGTCATGCATAGAGGAGTTGTGTACATTTTGTTCAATTCAAATAGATAATTCACTTTAGCATCAGAAGCAACCTTTATAGGTGGAATCGAAATGGATGAATGCTCGTTGAATTGAAATCTCAGTTCCATATCATACTGAGAGTGTTCAACTTTCAGCTTGTTCTGTAAATCATGATACATTTTCGCATATGATGTAATCGATGTTATGAAAATTGGAATATCATCACGTATATCACTCGTCCATATTCATACCCATCGATCTTTTTCATCCAATTTAAAATCAAAAAAATAACAAATTGAGATACAATCATATTTACATAATGAAACATAATATTTAATTATGAAAAAAGAGTAGTCAGAAAATCGGTTCAACTACAGGGCAATAGAATTTTAATTAAAAAAAGTCCTAACAGCCAGCCGACTGCTTTGGCTATAAATAGGTGGTGGTTACGGGTGTAACAACCGACTGTTAACAGTCGATTGCCTAAGGCCGTTAAGATTGGCTGGAATCATTGCCATGAATATACATGTAGATGAGTTTTTTTCTTGTTTATGTTTAAAAAATTATAGACATGTTAAAAAAATTTATCTACATGTCAATTTATGTATAAATAAGATTTATCGATTAAAAACGTATACTAAGTTAACGAAAATGAAATTAAACATAATATGTTGAAATTAAATTTAACGATAAAAATTTATACTGATTTAACGAAAATGAAATTAAACATACGTAAATATACTTATCGATTCGAATTGATAGATATAAAAAAAAATTCTTGTTTAGCGCTTGATCAATTTTTGAAATTTTGAAATTGAAGCAGATGAAAAATGAGAAAGTTTTTATTTGTGTTAGAATAAATAGATAAGAAAAGTTTACTGTTTTAAAATTTTAAGTGTGAAGTATTTGGTTTTTACTTGTTAACTAAAAGTGTAGTATTGTCTTTTAAATAAAATAATATTTTGTAATTGTATTGTTTACTCAAATGTATCTTTGTCTTTTAACATTCAAAAGGTCATTGTGAAAATATGTAATTGTTGAAAATTCAAAGTGGAAATTAAGGGGTTTAACCAAGCCAATTTTAAAAGTACCTTGCGGAAAGGAAGCCCGAACTGGGTTGGCAAGGATTTTGACACAGTGGACTCAGTGTGACTTATATATAACGGGAGAATTTTGAGGGCACCTCTGAGTTTGGAAGATAGTAGCAATATGGCAAGATCAAACTCTTTGCTATAAAGGGTAAAAGAACGATATTATTGCAGATTAGTCCCTATCATATAAGTCTTGTAGTAACTTTCCTTTAACTTTTTTTTTTTTGTTACACCTGTAATCCCCCAAATTCTTGTTTTGCAAGCGATAACTCATTTCTTTATTTGGTGTACTTACTTGAGTCAGATGAAAGACAATTTTTACATTCGATTTTGAAGGGGGAGATCCTATAGGATCCTATTTTAATTATGAAATGTCATCGGGCTTAAGATATACTTTATAAAAGTGTAGTTGATGAAACATGAGTTCATTAGTTGCTAGAAATTTATTTGAGGCTAGTTTAGCATTTTCTGAAAATTTTAGGGACCAATTTGTAATTTAAAAGAGTTGCGCCGTTTGGACTTTCCATCTTTTAGTTTTTAATGGACTCGTGAAATTTGCTAAAAATACAGAGTTGATGTATATCAAAAGTAGAAAACTTGATTAAGTCCTTGTTTGGTTTAATTAAAAATTAGATTTTTAGTAAATGTTAATAAAAAATGATGAAATATGTGATTGAAAATTTGTAAATTCCTTAAAATGTATGATTGAATATGAAAAAAAATTAGTTTTAGGGCCAAACAAGGCTTCAGTTATAAGGGATGCTTTTTGTTTAGTCAAATCTTTAATCCATTAAAAAATTTCCCCTCTCTTGCTCGAAACGCATCTTCATGTATGATATTAACTCGAGTGACTTTAGAAAAGACTGAATGTAAGAAATTAATTTTTAAATTTTGTGGTAAGTTTTGTTGAATTAGACTCTTAACTTAAGTTTGAGCAATTCTAACCAAGAATTTTTTTTTACTAGTCTACTCTTTAATCAAAACGAAAATTTTACTCCGCGAATTAGTTTCTTGAATATGTCTATTCCGTTAACCAAAATAATTGTAGTGCCATTTTGTTAAAATATCGCGTAGGCAAATTTGATGAGGATGATTACAATATAAAAATGGATTATAAGCTCTCGTCAATTTCGCTTAATTTGACGGGAATGGGCGTATCGAAAATCGTGCAATAAGTCTATGCATCATTTCAAGAAGAGAAATACAAGTAGCTGCAACAAAACAAACATAACTTTAGGGTGTGGTTGTCTCCCATTATTGGGAGAAAAATAGATTAATGAATAGTATTTTTTTAAGAATATGCGATTGAAATTTAAAGTAACTTTATTAGTTTGTGTGTAGAATATTTTATTGGATGAATGTGTGGTGAAGAATCTTACTATAGCAAACAATATTTTGAAATAATGGTAGGCAAACAGGGGCTTAATCTCTTGACAATAAAAAATTTAGAGATGAGACTTTGGTTATGTATTTCCTTGACATTCTCCCTCTTAATCATATTTCATAGTAGTAATTTCTCTCCCGATTTATCAACTATTTGAAGCAAGAATATGTAGGGCCCGTTTGATTCTCATTATTATAGAATGAGAATGAAAAATATAGTCGTTATTGGGCCCCACACAAAAAATAGAAATTCAAAATTGATGACTTAATGTGATGGATAACGGTCATATTTTTCATTTTTATGGATGAAAAATGAGAAACAAACAGTGGCCTACTATTTGATATTAAAATTCGCAGCACTCTTTAACATAAAAAATCAGTAGTTTCTGTGAGATTAAAAATTATTTGCTATGAATGAATGCCATAAATCTTAGCTAGTTCTTGTTGAAACTTGTGTATATCTGCCTCAGCCTGTTCTCTTTCTTCATCACCTCTCGCACAAGTTAAAATCTCGTTTTTCTCCAATATTTTCTTCTTGATACTTTTAACCTGCAAATCAATAGGAACATCTGTAACTTTCATCACTGAGATAGAGAGGGGTGGCGGTGGGGATAAGGGGAAGGGGGGAGGTAGAAACCTTTCTGTAAGGCCACCTTGGCAAACCGTCCCTGCGGCATATCTTCTTCATCACCGTGGGGCATACATTCAATTTCCTGGCCGCATCTTCAATCGGATGATCAAAATATCCTATAACGTCCTTCAATTTCATCAATCCAGTTCTTACCCTCTGCATTACTTATCAGCATTCAGAAAGCTGCATTATACTCTAGAAATGAAAGTTCAGTTTACTAGACAAGGACGGAAATGATAGTTTTCCCGCGAAAAGTAACCTAACAATATGCACATTTATCTAAATTCATCGTTCAGATTAATGGATTCCATAATCCTGTAAAATTATCTCTAGTAGTTGACATTTGAAATGAAAATTGAATAGCTGGTTGGTCCATTGAACATACTACTAACCTGCATTGCAAGGGGGATCTTAGCAGATTGCTTTATATTTCTATCAGCTTCTGGTTGCATCGACTTTTCTTGTTGGTTCATTTGGCAATTGCCTGTATTACATCATAAGACTACTAAATATGATCGCATTCATGTGAGAAAATTGAAGAAAAAAATGCTGCCATGGTACATTAAGTTTACATTTTAAAACCAAGAGATTTCAACTGACCTGCATCATCTGGAGATAATTGAATAAAATAGTAGAAATTCTCAGTGTCGTTCACTCCAACACATGGGCTTCGTAGAAAGTGGCGAGAGGATCTTGCAACATATCATAGCCTTCTTGTTTACAATCTTTGTAGTACTGAACTAGAAACTCTTTCACACAATGGATACTTTTCGTGCAAAAACTAAAAGTACAAATAAAAATTTTAACTTCTCGATAATCGACAACTAAATGATACATATGAATTTGAGAGTACATACTCGAACACTTTGAATTCGTGGTTCTGAGAAGATAAATCACAATCATATTTCTCAAGAATCGCATGAATGACCATTCCAACTCTTCCATGAATCTCAAGCTTTTTCACTCTTATGCCTATCAAGCCATTAAATACAAAAACAGGGAACAAAATGAATTCAAGATTGTGATGGAAATTTCGAAAATTGCTGTACTTGCACATACCACTAACATGAGTAATTTCACGAAGTCTTTGACAACAAATGCAACTATCAGGGGATTGAAAAACTGGAGAATCTGAGAGTTGCATTGGAAATACAGAATCTGAATTTTGTGCATTATTATTAACATTATTTCTAGGGGTGGGCGAAGGTCGGTTCGATTTTTTTCGGTTCCAGAAATTTTCGGGTATTTAGTAAATGGAACCGTTCGGTTTCGGTTTCGGTTCGATTCGGTTCTGTTCGGTTCCGTACTATAATTAAATTTTTTAACATTTAAAATATTACTACATAAATACACCTGAAAGTAAATACTAATATTAATAACAAAAAGTAGATACAAATACCAAGTTCAATCTTAAGTTGTCAAATACAAATACTAAAAAGTAAATATTACTAATAAAACTTCGATAATTCATTTCAATAATTCACTTGCTTCAAACCCTTTAAGTCTACATAAAAATGAAATATAAATAAGAAGGTATAAAGATAAAATATTTTAAAGTATTGATAATACTTACCAACTATTTAATGTAATCATCTGTTGCTTGACTTTCCATACTAACTACTAAGAAACTATACAAGAAAAAATTGAAAAAGCACAACTAACAAATATAAATAAACTCTAAATTGTTCAAATAATAAGATTTCATAAGAAAAAAAATTATTAATTTGTTTAGAAAAAATAAAAGAAATTAATTTATCCAATATAAAAAAAAAAGTTCGGTTCTTATTCGGTTCTTCGGTTCTTGGTCGAGAACCGAGAACCGAACCAAACCATTCGGTTCTCGATTCGGATACCCGTTCGGGTATTTCATTTTTAAAAACCCGTTCGGTTCGGTTCGGATATTTTGCCCAGCCCTAGTTATTTCCATTGTAATGGCTACTTCTTTCTCCTTGAAATCCAGATGGTTTAACTAGATAATTTGAAACAAGATTCTCATCACTCCCATAACCCAAGTCCCAAACAATTGGATCGATAAAGGGATCATTGGCATCAAAAGTATTATCAAATCCAGTACACCGTTCAAAATCAGGATATTCGGGGAGGCCAAAAGTTGGTATTTCTACTAAGAATGAAGATTGATCAATGGCGGTAATATCATCACCAGGATCATGATAAGGACCAATGGCAGTTAAATCCGTCATTGCTAATTTTCTTCGAGGTGGAGCGAACGGTGGTGGGGGTGGCGACGCCTGGTGCAGACCAAGCGCCGACAGATGGTGCTTGAGAAGGGAAAATTATGGGACAAGTAGGATTTGGTTGGAAAACTTGGGATGTAAAAAGGAATGAGACAGGAGGAAAGATGGCAGTTATGAAGTTGGAAGCGGTTTATATTTTGAATATAATGGACAATTTTATTTTATTTTTGAAGTATAAAGGAAAATTCGTTTAAGCAGTAAAATTAAAATTATTCGCGGAGTTTCTCCAATTTTGATCAATCCATCTTGGTACTGCGAGTGAACCAATGAGATTCGATTTGTGTTCTTTGCTCTCACGCTTGTTGACTAGAATCTTCTCGAGAACATAACTTGACTACTTAAAATGAATGGGCATTCCCCAACTAGAATCACGAAATTTCAGGGAAGCGCTTGAAGATAAAGTGCGCCCAGTTTTGAAAACCCACTTGAACTTTTTGAGCAAGGACATCCTCCCTAATTTGGAAGGTGTAGGAATTTGGGGCTGCAATAACTCATTTTCGGGCTCAGTCTTCAACCAAAACGACACCAACCAACTCAAGCTCGACCCACAACTCACACACTCTGGTTGCCACTAGTTTTCTTACCCACAAAGGGTACTCATGGTAGTGGTGATTTGAAGCCACAAAGGCAGGGGAAAGGGGGCACCACAAAGGAGACAAGGAAGAGACCAATACACAAAGTATATTACCGGATTTTGGAGCACCAAGCTGGCCGGATTTTCTTCTCAAGGCTGCCTGTTTTTCT